TGCTCGACTTCAGCATCGGGAACGCCGGGGATTTCTTCTTGAGCATCCTCGATATGCAGAAAGTTGGAAAGACAGCCAAGCGGAAGTCCTTGTGCAGCTTCCTGGGGTCTACCGCATTGTGGTGGACATGTGCGCTTTCCAGCTCTACACCGACGGAGGCTTGGCCAAGAAACCTACTGCACTGGTCACCAACGTTTGGCCTTTGGTACGCCTTCTTCGCAAGTACCGGTGCGATGGTAAGCATTCACATCAACCTCTCCTTGGCGGTGGACGAGCAGCAGTTGCAGCTCAGTACACTCTCCAATTTGTCAGAGCCGTTCTCCAAGGTCTCAGACACCACCTTCGCGGCCGAGGAGTGGACTACGTGCATGTTGCAGAAGACTCCGTGCTGCTTCCGTCAGAGCTTCAAGACCGAGTCAACTACTATGCACGAGCTTGGTCACAACCTCTGGCTGACTACATCCTTGAGGAGTCCCACTTCCAGCACGAGTTCTTCTACATGACCTACTCGTTCACGGCTTTTCCAGCCCACAAAATTTTGGGCCGGGGAGATGATGTTCCTGCGGCTTCTGGCGCGGCGCCTTCTTTGCCGTCTTCGACGCCCTCTACTTCTGCTGAAGGTCGACCGCACAAAGGGCTGAAAGCCCTGGAGGATCACCCAATGCAAGCTCCCGCAGAAGCCGACCCTGTGCTGGAAAAGGCCAAACATGAGATCAGGCCACTTGCTGAGTCCGACGAGGTGCAAGCTTTAGCTCAAGATCTTTCTCAAAACCGCTCTGATGCGAGTCTTCCAGCGGACCTGAGGAGAGAAGTGTTTCGACTACACCGGAACCTGGGACATCCGTCTCAGGAGAGCTTCATCCGGGCTCTCAAGCACGCCCAAGTCAAGGACGAAGTTTTGGAGTATGTCAAGCGGCACTTCACTTGTCCCATCTGTCTGCAGCATCAGAAGCCGAAGACACCTCGACCAGGACATCTTGCACATGGCTTGAAGTTCAATGAAGTGATTGGCACTGATGTCATCTTCCTGGAGTATGGTGGAGAACTACACGCCTTCCTGAATGTGATCTGTTGGGGAACTGGGTTGCAGAATGTGACCTACTTGCCACAGAAGACAGCTTCACAGACGATGACAGCTCTCACTGATTCCTGGCTCACGCCATACGGCCCTCCTACGCTACTGGTCACGGACCAGGGAAGAGAATTCACTGGCCGGGAGTTCGCCTACAAGCTCAATCAACTTGGTGTCATGGTGCATTTCATCGACACTCATGCCCCGTGGCAAGCCGGGCGAACAGAACGAGCCGGAGGAGTGTTCAAACAGAAGCTGAAGCTGGTGGTGGCAGAGTGTGCAATCCACACATGGCCGGAATTTCTCCAGGCTGTGAAAGAGACTTGCATAGCAAGAAACAGGTTCTACAACAGATCTGGTTTTGCACCATACCAGAGAGCTTTTGGCTACAACCCTCGAATGCCAGCATCTCTTCTCTCCGACGACATCTTGGACCCCATCCTGGTGAACATCTCAGCAGCCGAGGATGTGCAACGCAGCTGGCAGATCCGAGACATGGCAGCTCAGTCTTGGTTGCGAGCCCTGGATGAGGACACCGTGAAGAGAGCCCTCAAGTCACCGACGAAGACCACCGACCAAACTCCTTTGAACGCAGGTGATTGGTGCTACGTGTGGAGATCAACAAACCTGCACAGTGGCTGGAGTGGTCCCGGCGTTATTGTCGCCATCAGTCCCAACCAGAGGACGATGTGGGTCAGTCTTCGTGGCTCCCTTCTCAAGGTGCCCAAGGAGCATGTGCGTCCAACTACTGGAGAAGAAGATCTGGGCAGAGTTTTGGCCAAGGAGCTTAGTCTGGAGATGATCAAAGACATCAAGAGTGGCAAGCTTTCCCGCTACCATGACTTGTCTGAAGAACTACCTGGGGAAGAAGATGAACAACCTTTCGAGGCCGAGGTCAAACCTATGGAAGCCTTGGATGAAGAAGCTACTCCACCACATCGTCCAGCAGAACCTGACTTGACAATGGAGGAGTACACGCCCACCAGTGTGGTTGAAACTGACGATGAGCTCATGGCTGCGACACCAGAACACGAGCAGCTTCAACCTGCTTTTGAAGCCCCTCAACAAGCTTTGGATGATGGTGAAGAAGTGAGCACCCATATGGGGACGGATGATGCAGCTCATAGCACACCGCTGACGAGTATGCCGCCTTCAGCACTACCCAGTCGCCGAAACAGCATTCAGGTGGATGAAGGACGTGGTGGCACTTTGAGGACAAGCTTCGGACCTATGCGGCCAGCTGAGGATCATGCAAGATCACTGCCGTATCCTTTCTCAGAACCTCCGAGGTCTTTGCCAACGCCACCGGAGAGAAGATCACACTTCTTTGAGGTGGTCACCTTCGACCAAGAGAGAACCCGCAGAGCCACCTGGACTACTGGAGAAGATGGTGCACTTTGGTGGTTTGATCAACGAGCTGAGCGCTTTGGCATCACTCCGATCTCCACAGTTAACTTCACTCTGGACCAGGCAGAAGGTTCCTACAGCTATGCGGACCGCTGCATCTACTTGACAAAGACCAAGTTAGCGCCTGGCCACATCGAGTTTGAGAAGCTCACCAATCCAGCTCACCGCAAAGCTTTCCTGGATGCAAGGATCAAAGAGGTGCAGTCTCTGATCGAGAACCGTGCAATCACCATTCTGTCTCCAGAAGAAAGCCGAATCTTCCGAAGAGACCATCCTGACTGTGTCCTACCCAGCCGGTATGTTGACCGGTGGAAGCCTTCAGGTGATGGAAAGTTCTCGACCTTGCCGGAGCACTTCGACGAGCCCACCTTCGAGCCGATGGACCATCCTGGTTTGTCTGCAAAGTCGAGATGGTGTGTTGTTGGCTGGCGTGACCCATGGATCCATGCCATGGAGAGAAGCGCTCCTACGCCCTTGTCCAGCAGCATCATGCTTTTCCTTCAGGTTGCAGCTACAAGAGGCTGGACGGGCAGAATCAAAGACTGCAAAACAGCTTTCCTGCAATCCTTACCTACGACAAGGAAGCAACGCCTTTGCTGCTCTATGCCGTCTGGTGATGGAGGAGTGTTTCCTGGTTGCTCTAAAGATCAGCTGATCCAACTGGAGACCGAGGTCTATGGCCTTGTCAGTGGCCCTGCTTGGTGGAGAAAGAGCTTCCTGCAGGTCTTGGTAAAAGAATGTGGCTACCGCATCAACAGCTACGACCGCTGCGTGCTGACCTTGGACGCAGAGCCGCCTGACCTCAAACCACTTCCAGGTACCACTTCGACCTCCTCGTCTACCGGAACTTCAGCTTCCTCTACAAGCTCAACTTCTCGCTCTACGACCAGCTTGGGAGAAGGGAAGCCCGGTGATCGCACTCAAGGGCTGATTGTCATTGAGATTGACGACGTTCTTGAGGCTGGCAACGCCGAGCATCGCAGACGAATGGAATGGCTTGAGAAGCGCCTGAGATTTGGCAAGGCAGTGAACCTTCAAGAAGAGAAGAGTGGCACTGGCTACGCCGGGAGGCGCTTGAGACAACTCGAGAACTACTCCTTCGAGCTGACGATGGCTGACTACATCAAGAACCGCCTCAAGCCGGTGGTCTTTCAGCGAAAGTTCCTGGTCAAGAACGCCAAGAGCATCCAACTCACTGATGATGAAGAATCTGCTTTGAGAGGAACTGTGGCTAGCATCAACTGGTGCGCTCGAGAAGGACGACCAGACGCCGCCGCTGCAGCTTCAGTGTTCTCGGGGGTCTTTCCAAATCCCTCGATTGCTGACGCCTTGGAGGTGAACAAGATCGTAGCCAAGCTCAAAGAGATCGATGTGGTCATCCGCATACACCCCATTAAGGAGGAGCTCATCCGCCACGTGCTGATCAGCGACAGCTCCTTCGACCCTACGGGGAAGACCAAACCCCAACACGGGTGGCTTCAAGGTGTGACCACACCACAACTGAACCGAGGAGAAGAAGCGCCGATCTCCTTGATCAGTTGGAAGAGCAGGCGCCTGAGGCGCAAGGCTGGGTCTTCGAACCTCTGCGAAAGCATTGCGCTTTCCACGGCCTATGGAGCATTGGAGAAGCAGATGTCGACATTGAACTCTTTCCTAAAGTCCAACTACAGTGTGAGGGATGAGCTTGAAAGGATGGATGATGGAGGCCTCCGCGGGACGCCCACTGTCATCGCGGAAGAAGACCAGAACTTCCACGACCCGAAGTCCGTGGCCATCCTGGACTCGAAGGGAGTGTTTGATGCTTCCTCGAATGAGCAGAGCCAAGGTGAATGCGACAGAACGTCGCTGGAGGTAGCTTTGATTCGGGATTCCATGTCTCGAACTTGCTCTCGCATTCGCTGGGTTCCACACAACAGAAACCCGGCTGACATGCTGACTAAGGTGTCACAAGCACATGAAGTGCCGATGTACGACCTGCTGAGGACCTCGAAGTACAGACTGCAGGTTGAAGCGGAAGTGCTTGAGTCCGGTCGACAGTCGGAACAAAGGCTCAAACAAAAGCATACTCATAAAGAAGATAAGGAGGCTGATGAAGGTGTGAACATTCATGAGATGCTTTAGATCCGACTGTTGCCATCGGGTTCAGGCCTTGAGTCACTTGGGTGCGCATTGGAAAAGAGCCATGCCGTTTGCTTGTTAGCATTCCGGAAGTTTCCCCGAACTCCTGCCTTTTATAGCTTCTTACTACTACTACTACTACTACTACGACTACTACTACTACTACTACTACTACTACTACTACTACTAGTAATGCCCTTAGCCACTAGTAGCTTCTTGCTAAGTTGTGTTGCAAATGTCCAGGTGCTTCTTCATTCCATGTCAGGTCCTTTTTAAGGAAGGCTCGAGCCATCACGAGCGGCGTTTCAAACCTGTTAGAATTGAGTCCATATGTTTTTCAACTGTAAATGTACGTAGCGTGGCACTGTCCATTCCGTGGCCTTCCAATCTTTTTCCGGCTAAGTCTCATGAAGCCCCGAAGACTGCGGTGGCACTGAATTCCCGTGCGGGTGGGCCAGCGCAGTAGGCTGGAGCTGAAAGAGAGAGGATGTGCAGATTGGCTTTGGCCACCTTGAGGATAAGACGGCCTGACCCAAGCCACACTTGGGTCAGGATGTTCACATGATTTTGCCTGGTGATATCATTGTATTTTGGAATGTCCGTCGCTTCAAAGTTTGGTGCCCGGTTTTGAAGCCAATCATTCTGAACTGCGTTTGTTTCGTCAACGTGTGTGATGCAACTTGCTGCCTCCGCTGCTGGCCAAGAGAATCAAAGAAAAGGGAGCATGGCGGAGCAAGAAGATGCATAGAGAAGCTGACTCTTGAGGAGTCGAATATGTCGAATGAGTCGAAGAGAGTCTTGAGCAGCCAGAAACCAAAGGAACCGGAGGACCGGTTCCAGCTCCATTCAACCACAGCAGGTGAGCTTCAGAATCTCTCCCTCCAAGGATCATTTCCATGATACATCATGATACATCATGGCACTTTGACCCAGCAAATGTGCATGATCCACATGTCAGAGGAGTCTGACCTTTCCAAGAGTCAAATCCAGACTCTGCCAGACATTTCCAGACCTTTTCCTTTGGTGGAGTCCAGTTTCACCTGCCAAAAGCCCGACAGCCATGTCGCAGCTGCCTGAGACATATGGGTATCCTGTGGTGTCAGTGTCTTGTCACGGCTTAGTGTGGTAGACACTGAATCCTGGTCCAGCTTTGATGTAGACAAAGATGGAGTTACTTTTGTTCTAAGATTGTCATTGATCAAGAGGATCGATTCAATTTGTGTCCTCAGCCCACTTGAATCTTCTGCCCAAGGTTTGCCCAGATGATCCACCTTGGACCGCAGCGCCTCCTGATTGGCTCGAACAGCAGGCCTGGTTCTTGGCGGCCCTGGACAAGAAGTTCGCAGAACAGGAGAGGTGTGAGGAAAGACCACCAGTTCATTGGAAACATGCATAGCCTCACGCAGTGCACAGTATTTTTTGGCTTTATACGCCGAATGCGTATGCAGGAAGAGACAGACAGTCAAGACTCAGGTTCATTGAAATAAATAGTAACCGCGCTAAAGCCTTTAATACGCTTTTCTCGGCACGGAGTGGAATACAAATTCAGTCCGGATAAGTTGTTTGTGGCTGCATGGTAAATCAATGGATGGACACATGCATTTGTAAATAGAGACATGGTCAAGGCAAGAGGGGCAGATTTACGCAGATGCCGGCGATGCAAGTGCAGACAGGTTGACTAGATAGATGGATTGATGGATAGATAGATAGGCGACAACATCAGTCATAGTTACATCATGATATAGCAATGGCAAATGCATGGGCAGACAGTGAGACAGACAAGTTTGGTCAAGTTAGGTCGATGATATCAAATGTAGACTATCATAAGTCATACGTCAGGAGTATTTTGCAGGTTTTCGAGCTCCTTGATCATTTAATCGCAGGGGGGATTAGGCAGGTTCGGCAAGCTTCATGGGTAAAGCTTAGGCATTTGTCCGATCATTAACTTTATATACATAATCGTTTGCTGGTGTTTACTGTACATTCATGGGGTCTACTATTTTATATGCTTGGCTACTCACCGTATAGTACCACATAATTGGTTAAATGTTTCCTTGTTGGATTAGTCTGATCAAAATGCAGCAGAAGAGAGCAGTGTAAACGTCAATATGACTAGACAGAAACACCACAATAAGCATGTCAATGGGCCTTCATTGCCCTGGAAGGCGGAGAAGATAGAGACATACATAAAGGTATCATAAAGGTAGATAGAGATGAAGGTTGGGTGCGCTAAGCTGGAAATCACGTTGTTTTTGTGTTCATTCGCGTGTTCTGTTCACCGAACAGCACTGGGCAACCTTCGCCAACCGATAACACTGTTGGCAGTATTTTGTGTCATGTCAAGCTTTCCAACTTACTGGGACGAGATCATTTCCAGGAAGCAATGTTCCAGGACCAACTGAAACTGCTCGGATCAATTTTTCCAGGCAAGCGGCAAGCAGGTTTTGGCGTTTGACTTTTCAATTCCCCACTTAGAAATGGAAACTCTCAGAACGAAATTTGAAGAAGGCGCTCGACTTACTTGACAATGGCAGTATCCACTGCCTTGTATGCATGATGTTGAACAGCCAAAATTTTAAGTATGATTGAACAGATTATAGACTGAAAATGACTGAAACATGTTCAGCCTTTCGTGGGGTCTGACTAGAACCTGTTTGTCAGTGTTGAGCCGCTTCTTTAAAGCTCGTCGTGACCCACGCTTGCAAGGAGGCAGTGATTCGAGAGTTGCTTGATCCCGGCCTTGACATTCAAGGTTATGACAGTTATGACGTGCCTGCGATCCAAGTGATTCCGGACCCGCAGGAACATGATGCAAGCGTGGAACTCGAAGAGGAGGATGAGGAGGATGAGGGAGGAACTACACCAGAAGCCTGGTGAAGTTGATTGTATGCTTTTATACTTTGTTCTATTTTAAAGATAGGGCTCGAGAGAAGACGGGACGCGCATCCTCGATAGCTCCGACCCCCTTTGTGCTAGTTGCACATAGCCATAGCGCCTGCCAGCCCTTCTTTCCATAGAAGGCAGCGGCTCAAGCGTGCGAAAGCGAGAGCTTTCGTTAAGCAAGCGAAGAGGAGAGGCACGCTCAAGTATAAGCAGCTGGATAGGTTCCGTGCTGCAGTGGCCTTACTACAAGGCCACCACTCGAAGCCGAAGTACATCTTTCCCCAGAAGATCGTCCGGACACTGAGTATGTCATGGAAGAATGGCTGGAGGAAAAGCGACTACCAGTCTTGGGGAAACTATCCCAAGAACCAATGGAAGAAGCCAGACAAGACCGAAGGCACTCTGATTTCCTGGGACGGGAAAAGGGTGGCTTTGGGCGAAGGCGATACCCCTTCTTCGCTCTCATCATCGTCGCGTGGATCTACGGCACCAGCCAAGCAAGGGGAAGATCCGCATCTCAAGGATATGGTCCGACGACTCCTCGATGGAGATGCCAAGAGCGACCCAGATCTTATTCGGCAAGCAAAGCTTCTAGTCGAAGAGACGCCTCAAGAGGCATTGAGGAGAGAGCAGCGAGAGCTCAACCAGAGACGAAGAGATATCACTCGCAAGGAGAAGCTCCGAACCAAGCTGGACAATACTCAAAACAGATTCACAGACTGGAAGAGTCGAGTTCAGCATACAATTCGAGTAGAAGAGACAAGGTTTTCCGACGAAGTTCGAGATCTCCGCAAGCAGCTCAGTCAGGCAGAGAAAGACGAGGAGATGGAAGACGAAAAGCAGCTGGACAGCGAGGACGATCTGCAAGATATCAGGCAAGCTCTACATCATCAAGAGAGGATGAATATGAGCCCGATGAGACAGAACAACCAGATCACTCAGCAACTTGCTCAGCTAACACAAGCCATGAGTCAGATTGCGCTTACAGCGGCAGCTGGCAATCCAGCTATGCAGCAGGAACTCCTCAAGCCTGCACCGGGACTGGCAATGCAGAATGTGAAGCCGGAAGCGCCATTAGTGGAGCTCGACCAAGAGGAATACCTTACCGAGGTGGAGATTATGAACCAGCTTGCGGGACTCCCCCAGCAGGTGGTAGATGGGACACTCGAAATCATCAGAGCCAAGACAACATCGGGCTGGACGGCCCAAGGGGTTCATTCTGTTGTCCAAGAGCTACAAGACAATCAGAGATTTGCTGCGGTGGAGACCATGCCAGTGGTGGAGGGTGCACTCAAACCATTTGGGAAGGCCAACACACCCAAGCAGCGGAGGAAGATGCCCTACGAAGGTGGGAAGGGCGTCTCCCCAGCGGCAAAGTCCCCAAAACTGGGGGCTATGGAGTAGGATGTGAGATGAACCAGACGGAATCAGAAGAGTCATCATGCCATTCAGCGGCATTTGCTTCTGCTGATTGTACCAAGATTGACATTTCTTCTCCGAACAGGATGGAGCTAGGCTTTGACAGCTGCATAGATTTTCCATTTTCAGATGGCGCCGTTTTTCAAGGGACGACACTGAATGAGGGGCGAGAAATCTATGTGGAGTTCTTGTCGTTGGATTTTGATGATCTGGATTGCAACCGCACAGGCAATCTATTTTCCAGTGATCAATCAGACCCTGCGAAATGGATCTTATCTTTCCTGAGGTTGTCATGCTTGGTGTTGGGATGCCAGGCCACTTGGATCTTTTGGAAAGTCTTTCATAGATTCCCCGGAAGATATGCTTACTTCAGGGGAAGGTTAATTCAATGGGCGACTAACCTAACTGTTTTACAGTTAGCGTTTTGGTTTTCGGTTAGCCCCGAAAGCTGGGAGTATTACATTGGCGGTGTGCATATCCAGCCAATTGTTCGAATAGTGATGGCTACATGGTTGAGCTGCACCTGGAGTGCGTGTCTTTTTCGATGCCTTTTCTCGTGCAGAGCTGAACATGTTCGGAAATGCCGATCTGTGGGGGGCAAGCGAGCAGGGCGGAGTCCCAAGACCAAGCATAGGATTTCCGTGAAGGGAATCTTCTTGTTGTGTAACCTGGTGACTTCGCATGCAGTTGAGGCCTGCAAATTCCATGCAGGGACGACGCTAGACCATGTGAATCACAGCCCGCCTACGGAGACCTTTGAAGGCCCAGGTCGAGTCAGCATTTTTGACGCTTGCAACGACAACTGTTGTAATGCAGCACTACCAACGTGCCAACCAATCAGCTTCGACTCCTATAGGCATTTGAAGAGTATCGGCGTGTCAGATCAGGACCCAAGTACAACGGGATTTGCTGTCAGCCCGAGCAAATCGCCACCAGATCAACCAGTTGACCAGTTGAACAAGGTGAACAGGGCAATTTTCAGATCAAAGATACCACACTGCGATCTGTTTTGGGCACTTGCCCGGTGCAAGCATACAATTTTGTGCTGCGTTTTGACTTTGCTGACACAAGTACGGCAAGGAATAGCGGCAGAGTGGAAACGATTCCTGGAGGCGGGGAAAACACTGCAACCCCTAGGTGTGAGGTGCGATCTCTGCTGGAGGA